ATCATCAACATTCCACATATAAGCTCAGAAGACTCGTGTAGGTTCACTGGTGGTTTTGGATAGTAAATAAAATGTTTATATTTGTGTTGTAGTCATGGTGACCCCTGGTTCCCATCACCACCACTGTAAAGACATCAGAACCATTTCACTCCAAACCACTCTGAATCACTTTCTCAGCTATTTAGTTGTACTTTGGATGAACATCTAACAGCACTTTTATTATTTTTTTGAAGTTTACATGTAATGCGCACTGCGATGGACTGGCGACCTGTCCAGGGTGTATCCTGCCTTCCACCCAATGACCGCTGGGATAGGCTGTGTGTGTGTTTAAGGTGTATACTTTTATTCACAAATTTTTTCTGTTGTTACGTTGAAGTCTGTAGTCCCATGTAACCAAGGCTGAATTTAATGAGATAAATTAAGTAATGAAACTCACTTTTTAGCCAGACTTGTGCTCAAGCAAGCTTAATCAGGCCTATATGCTTTAACCTACTATTAGACATCATCATAATATGTATAATATATGATATATAATATATGAATAGTAAATGAAATAACTAAAAACAGAGTAACTATCAAAAATCTAAAATAAATAGTTATAAAAACATTAATTTTATCACAACGAGTAACGCAAGCCTGGCATTCCTGAGTGAAATACTTCTGCGCACTGTTGAGATCCTCTAGGCTGTTTTGCTCTTTGACTGATCTGAGATAAACAGCGTGTCTGTTATTTGAGCTCCTTTTCAGGCAGCAGGAAGAGTTTTTCTGAAGAGTATCTGGTTGGTCAGAGAGTCTGGAGGCAGCTGAGGAATGTGAGTGGAGTAAGAGTGCAGAGCTCTGGTGGGCACAGCGCACAGTACACATAAAGGAATGCAGGGAATTCAGATTGGGGCGAATGCAGAGCGACTAACATGCATGTTATCATCAACAACAGCGTAACCAGTTTCAGCCCTTATTGAAGTCGGCTGATCCGGCCGGTCGAGGACTGCAGGCACCTCTGGATATCAGAGCGAGGTGTGTTAGGGCTGGAGCTGAACTCGGCCTCTACAGCGGATCTCCACAGAACAAGGTTGGGCCGTCTTACAAAAGGTGCTTCAGTTTCGTTGCAAGCGACTCAGTTGCGTCATAAGTCAGCTCTTCTCGTGTGTGTGCGGTCAGACTCAGTGGTTATAGTGGACTGACTGCATGACACTTAGTGTTTATATGGTGGAACCTGCTGCCACACAGTAGTGAAGCGTCCGAAACTGTTTACTACTCTCACCAATTCTGCCCACAATAAAACTGTTCTATATTGTGATACAGATTACTGTAGGGTATAGTGACCAGGGGACCATTTTGGACCCGGCAGAAGAATTTTAGTCCGTAGGTGGAGCCTTATTTTAGCCACGCCCCTGCATTTTAGAGCAGGAAGTGAGGCTGCATCACTGTCCCTGATGGCCACAAGGTGAGTAGTTAGACCCCCATTTGTCCCAAAGTCTGAAAATCAGTGTGGAACATTAAGAATTGTCACCTTTTCTGCAGTTAAGTAAACTTTTTTGTGTTTTAATAAAGAATATGATGATTTTCTGTGTGAACAGCTGTCCAAAGCTGTGTTTGCTGGTCATGTACTGGTGGTGTTTTTGATTTCGGCTCAAAATGAGCTAAAATTGTCACCACCGAAACAGTCACTACTGAAACATTCGGTAAAGTTTCAGTAGTGTTATGGTTGTTTTGGTAGAGACAAAATGGAACATTAAATCATTTGTTTTAATAAAATAAACAGAATTAAGGTACAGAGTCACTCAAAGCAGTTAAAAGTCCAAAATGTGTCCTAAACCAGTTCAGCAGAAAGATCCACTCCAAAAAAACCCCACTGGGCCTCATTCACCAATATCTTCCTAAGTTTTTTTCTTGAGAAAGATCCTGAGAAAAAGTCTACGTCAGATTCATGACGTGTTCTTAAACTACAGAACTGTTCGCACCTTTGTGCTCTTGAGTGTGTGTAGATTCAGTTCTTACCTCAGAACAAATGCCAGATAAGAAAACACTGCTGAATTTCAGAATCTCAGTGAAAACTGCACAAGTGGGCTTTAAGAAGAAATGTATTCTTAAGAACGGTTGGTGAATGAGGCCCGTTAACTTTAAGTCATTTGGGGTTTTTTAAGTTCGTGTTTATGAGAATAACCCAGACGCCCATCAAGTCATTCAGAAACAAACGCTGCAGACGAGTCTCTTTTTAAAAAATAAATTTATTTTGTAAAATGCGGATCTGCTTTCTCATTTCTCACTCAGAGTAAAGCAAAGTCCTGTTTGATTTGCCAAAAGACAAAAAAAAAACTGTCAAATCCAATTTGAGTCTGAAGTTCTACCTCTAACAAAGGCAACGAAAGCAAAGTATCAGTGGCACCATTACTGGTGTGTGTGCTCATACAGAGACTGTGTTTAACAAACCGTACGGGGTTACCATATTTCTGTGAATGCTTAAAAGGTGCTCTCAAAAATAAAGACGATAAATGGAAAAGAAATAAACGCAGGCAAACGTTTTCGGGAGGTGCACTGTGAGAGAAACCGAAGACCCTCAGTGAGCGTCGGTCAGAACAGAACACAGCCGTCATCATTCAAACCTGGAATCCTCTGATTCTCCCCTGGAGCGATTCCTGTTGGTTGTTTATGGAAATGGACACTAATATCCTATCGGAATATTGTCTTTAACGAGGATCTTAAATTCAGGTTTAGTGGTCCAGACATAGAAGCACCTTTTTTGTTTTTAAAGCCAACTGTGAATGTAGAAATTAATTTAGGCATCCTAAAAACAAAACACATTCCATATGCAGTTGTTCATATGGGCCACATGCGTTGTGAGCTAATCTTTATAAAATATATATATTTTTTCTACACTTTAAAGATCTGGAGAGGTTAGCTCGGAGTATGTACACTTACATATTACAAACGCTTTCATATATAGGCTATTTATAAATAATTATTGCAGTTGCTGATGTCATGGCAGCCACTGAGCATTTTATTTTGTCTTGTCGAGGTCTTTCATTTTAGCACAGGCTGAGTATTAAAGGGGAACCCATTTCTGTCATTCAGAGTGGTTTGGTGTGAAATGGTTCAGGTGTCTTTACAGTGGTGGTGATAGGAACCAGGGGTCGCCATGACTACAACACAAATATAGACATTTTATTTACTATCTAGAACCACCAGTGAACCTACAGGAGTCTTCTAAGTTTTTGTATGGAATATTTATGATGGTAAAACTTCAAAAAATCTGAAAAATAAAGTTTTCTCTGGGGACTATTTTGTCTCTTGCATGTATCCCTCCACCATGAATGGATTTAAAAATACATTTCAAGCCAAAACCTTCTCAGAACTATCAACAACAATGTCTGAGACACCAGGTCGCATCTTCATAACCATTTCATGTACTAACTTTCTGAGGCATTAAACTCTTTGGACGTCTGGTTCCTATCACTACCACTGCTTATAAGTATCTCTAGCAGGAGCGTTTCACACCAAACGACTCTGAATGACTCTGTTTACACCTTAACCATTTAATCATGCAGAAATGTAGAAAAACTGGTGGAATTGCTAAGTGATACAGTTCTTTCTGAATCAGCAGTGCGTCGGTCACAAAGTGCTTTGCTTACAGCGTGAACTGTCACAATAATTGCAATAAGGTGAAGCGTATAGATCTACGCGAACGTGTAAACGTGGAGTGGTGCTTGTGCAGTCTTTCATGTTGCGTGGCTGCGCTGCGTGGTATTTTGTTGGTCTGTCTGGCAGTGGATTTGAACACAGTGGCTGTGAACGTAATGGATCCCTACTCCCTCATTAGTATTGTGCTATATTGTGAGGTAGGGCTGAATGATTTGGGCAAAATATCTAATCATGACTCCAATTTCCCCACAATATTGTTGATGAAGTAGGTTGTAATAAAAACAGCAGCTCTTGCGATTAGAAAATTGAATTCTTTAAAACTGCAACTTCCACATGAAAACAATTAATCATTCAGCCCTATGGTACGGGGGCTATTAGGTTTACTGAACACACGAATCATAAAAGGAATTCAGAGACTTTCTCATCATCAACCTGCATCAATGTTCATGTCACGTAAAAAAGCCAATATCAGTCGTTTGAGCGAGGCTGAAGTTCTTATTTGTCTTATTTGTAGCCATAGACGACACCGTAACCTTGTATTTGATAAGTACAGGAGATGAGGAGTGGAAAACTTTCAGAACTTGACTAAAGGAGGTATAATTTGGGGAAAATATCTCACTGCATTTTTCTGACGAATACTGTGACTGCAATTTAAATTGTGATTATTTTGCACAACATATCCTGCTAATTTGGGTCTGAAGTGTTCTCTTTACTGTAAGTGAGCTGTGTAAATTCTCCTCACTGTAATGTTTAAGTGGAAAGTGAAAAAAAGTCAAGTTTCAGCACTTCAGTTTTTGGCAGTTGATCCCTGAAGCATTTGACAATGTTTTATGCAAAGTGTGTTTTTGTCCAGCATATCAACTTTTTCAGGCTTTTTTTTAAAGCATCATGAAGTGTGCCAGACTGTCAGCTGCTGTGTTGTCATGTAAGCATCATCTACAGGCAGTTTTGTGATACCGGGTCAAATTTTCCCACATAAAACTTGATAATATAGTCTATAATTAAAATTGCAGCTCATGCTATTTGAAACTTGCATTCTCTCAAATGCAATTTTAACATTAAACAATCAATCTTTCAGTCCTACAGCAGGAACCTATAACAGCTGCTGTTCAGTGTTTTTTGGTGAGCAGTGGGTAGTAAACGCATTGTTTTTGTCTTTATCTGTGCTGCTTTTTGTTTTCCGTTTTCAACGGTTTAGCGGCTACCGCAAACTTTCAGTCCTGCGTTGCATTTTCAGCAGATGTAGTGATCTATAATGTTCACTAGAAAATCCGAGTGCAATGTTGGAAAGTGTAGTGCCTTCAGAACCACTCAGGAGTTCCATGTTACGATTCGGACGCAATGAAAAAATATGATGTATGTATTAGTGTTCTAAAGCATTTCGGTCACAGCCACTGTCTGGGGTGTGCAGTACTGAGCTGTTGTCTGGGGTAAACAGTGTGGAGGCAGTGCGGTGCAGAGGCGTTCTGTTGGATCAGAAACACAGTGTGGCAGGTTTAGAATCGCCTGGCGCCGATGTGTCCGATCCGAAACACAGCGTCAAGGCACGTACGGCATTTTCTGCTGGCGTTGTGCGGCTTGTGGTGCTGAGGACAGATCTAACGACGCTTTCTAAAGGCAACAGACTACAATCAGTAACATCGTCCTTCATGCTGATGCAAAATCCTTCGGTTAAGGCACATATACGGGGTCGTGGAAGAGGACATGTTACATTAGATCGCTTATTTTCTCTTCCTCCCTCTTTTATCCACTTTACTACTCTCTCTCTTTCTTTCTCTCTCTCTCTCTCTCTCTCTCTTTCCCTCTCTCACCTTCATCTCTTCAAGTTCTCTACCTTCTCAGCAGCTGAGAGCAGCATTATTCTGCACTGATGGGCGGAGTCAGAGTGAGGTCACAGTGGTGGGTCGTGGTGGGTGGGCAGGGGGATTAGAACCCTGTGCTTGGCTAGTGTCTGAACTGGAAACGGAGGCGGAGTCTGTGCCAGGTGGGTGGAGCTCCGGGGGAATGCTTTCAGTCAGTCTCTGCAGTTGCTCCTCGCCGTGACGGATGAGCTCGTCCAGGTGGCGCTGGCGGATCAGCAGGGCCGGTTTGGCGCGAACGTAGCGCTGGTAGTCTCGCAGCTGCGCCGCGCTCAGGTAACCGGCCAGGAAGTCCAGGACCACGCGCTCGCGCCGGTCCAGATTCTCCTTCAGCTCTCGCGCGTCCTCCTGCTGGCTGCACAGCTGCTTGCGCTTCTGCTGTAGAGACACCTACAGAGCAACAACAACAAACACTGGGGCTGTAAATCTCCGACATCAACATGATTTGATTTGATCAATCTCAAAATGTCCCATGATTCAAAAGACATATTCGGTAAAGATATAGAGATTTCGAGATGCAACAATGTTTGTGAAATGTGAAAAGTCCTTTGAACTTCTCTGCGGGTTTATAAAGCTTACTGAGGAATCTGAATATCTGCTTCCACACTCTGTTTGAAATATGCAGCAGGAAGCCTCTGCAGCTTCCTTCCAGTGGTTCTTTCCTCAAGATAACACGGTATGTTTGTCTGCTAATAAAGCTCACGGACACACCATCATTTTCCACCCAGGACTCACATGTAGAGATACTGTTGTGGTCAGAAAAGGAAGTCCAGGTCAAGCCCACTTTTACTCATCATCACTGTTATCTATACAAACACAATAGCTGACCATGATGCAAAGGGCTACAACATAACAGTCTAAAGCTTAGTGATGATTAACTAGTTCAGCTCTTACCGCTCAGTATACACTCATTAATATGTTAGTATTTAGTTGGATATTACACTTCTTACTTAAATTTGTTCTGGTCCATGCTGTCAGCTAGTTTATTAGACTTGCTGGCCCTGTTTGCTGATAACATTTGGGTCATCTTTCATAACTATTTTGGCTGCACTGGGAAGTGATGGATGTAGAAATTGTGCCACCTGGTGGTTGTGAATTGCAGTATATCAACAGAGTCCACTGTAAGTGAAAAAAAAATTAAGGACTCCCAATTTGATTGTTTCTCATCTTCAGTCCTTCAGTCCTGCTCTCAGACACAGTCAGCTCCACTGATGATGTCACTCTGAAACCGTTTATGTGGACTGCAGAGGTAAGCTGGAAAACACTGATGTGGATCAGTGCTACTCAAGTCTGGTTCTCAGTTTAAAGACCTCCTGCACTTAAAAATGTGTTTTTTTTTAAATGGTATCTCTTCTTGATTGACCTGTTATGATTACACAGACTGATATTTGTATTAAAAGTGTTAATGCAGAGTTCACATTTTTCAATTGGAACCACAGGCTTTCTCAATACACCCCCCTAAAAAAGTGTTTTTTTTGGGACGCTACATAGCAGCTTAGTTTTGTACGCCACATATGACCTTTAACCTATCATGGTCCAATTCACTAAAATATGCTAATGAGACAATTACACTGTGGCGACCAGAAACTTTCAGCTAGCACTAACATAGCTGTTACGAGCCCTGTGTCCCTTTACATGCAGGTACACGATTGGCCACACGGGGGAGCACTGATGTGTAAGAGGTCACCTAGCCACCCTCTTTGGAGACGTTCAGGGCTCTTTCCCCTTTGACATGACTTGGAAGAACAGCTGTCCAGACCAGCCCGGCACTCTTCACTTTGCTTGTGAAGTCAATTGAAAGATTTTTTTTAAGACTCTGTGCAACTTGGTGAACTTGGTGAAGCAGGGGACACGCGCCACTTTGTTTTGGTTACTTTTTCTCCTCTTTAAGGTAGGGAGTGAGGGTCACCGTATGTCCTTCTGCTCCTTTTGTTTTTCAGGTTTAGTTAGATTAGTAATCATTAGTTGTTTTGTTTGTTATTTTGGCAAAAGCTCGTTCCTGAAGCCATCAACCCAACTTATGTTTGAGCTTTTGAAGTAAATAAACCTGCCATTTTCTGACTTCCATGGTGTCCGGTGTCTGGTCTGGCAGCAGGTCTGGGGAGAGAGCCCACTCCCGTTTGACCCGAGACCGTGTCGCAACAATAGCTAACTTAATGTGTGCGATATTTGGACTGTTGTTTATAGCTAAAATAAATAAATGGTGGTGGTATTTAAAATGATGACAGTGTCAAATTTATAATCCACATCCATCTAATAAGAGTCAAATGTGGTGTGTGCAGAACTGTCCTGGTAGCAGATGCTAACACTGGGTTAACGAGCCGGGCAGAAAGTAGCTTCAATTAAAAGCAAGTTCAGTTCCGGCTTAGTGAATCTTTACTGATGCAGCTTTTGAGGATAAAGACTCAAATCGGAAGCAGTGAACCGTTTGGTTGTGTGTTGAGCTGTTAGCTATGCTAATCTTCTTCCATTATACCGGGCGAGTGGCTGTCACTAGAGTGACAAAATGATAGAAAAGACAGAATCTAACCTGTTCTGAGGTCTGTTGAGCTTATCAGGGGTGCTCAATCCTGGTCCAACACACTTGGCTCTATCATTCAGACGCCCCAAGGTCCTTCATAACCTGGATCAGGAGTGTTAGATTAGGGTTGGAGCTAAATTCTGCAGGGCAGTAGATCTCCAGGACCAGGACTGGGCGGCAAAGAGCTAAGTTAGCCTGCTAAGTACCACTAGCATAATCGGCTCCACTTGCTGGGTTTCTATTGATATGCTTCCTTCAGTCTTATGAATAATCTGAGATAATTGAATATGTTTATTGTGTAAATTCATACTACAAAACAATTAAAATACAATTTGTCACTCAGCCCCACTGTTCAGTTAAGTCTATTTTCATTTTTATTGTTCATAGTAAAAAATATTGGTAGATTATTTGATTACTAATACTATCAATAGTGACAGATCTATTCTGAAGCCCTTCCTGAACTGACTCAGGTGTAAGCAGGTAGAATGGTACACGGTGCTGCGCCATGGCTCAACAGAGCTGGGTCTGAGTAATAGGAGTCAAGACTGATATGAGATATCTAACTCCCATTTACAAACACTTACACGTATTCAACGCTGCCACACAGTCTGATTATGTACGGCAGTTTAAACTCGATTCCTCTGAACCATATCAGGTTTTCAGCATCATTAAGAGATCAGTGATTGTTTAACTTTGCTATTACTGGCACAAACAAACAATCAGGGTTTTACAGAATCCAGCTAATGATGACTGAGCAAGTATGTGCTGGGACAATGGCTGTATGTGTGTGTACTGTGCTCTCACAGCGTTCTCCAGTGTCTGCTTTGTCTTTAGAGTCACGCAACCATCCCAAAACTCAAACACACTATGATTCATCCGTTTCAGTCTCACAATTGCTGGTATCCCCAGTGAATTCTTTGTAAGTAGGCTAGACCAGTCAGTGTTCAGTTTGACAATGCTGCCCTCTCCTAATTCATAAGGGAAAAAAGCAGACAGATGAAAATACTTTGTATTGTGAGGACGCCTGACAAAAATATTACAAAGGAAAAGCTTGCAGGTTTTGGCACGGTTGTCTCGTCTTTGTCTATTATGTGTATATTAGGGGTTGCATAGACTAACCAACTAATAAATCCACTAGTAGGCGCTGTAGGCGATAGTCAACAAGTTGACTACAGTGCCTGAGATGTAAAAAACTGCAGTGAAGAGGCAGAATCAGAGAACAGCAATCAGAAATCACAAAGAACAAAGCACCTTATCAAGCCGTTGGTACACTACACAATTTGCAATTTTTTGGGGCGACTGAAATATTGGGGATCGCACACTACGCAACTTTTCAGCTGCTGCTGAACTGAACAAAACTCACTGAACTCGTGCGAACTCACACATTCTCCCGTTACGAGGAGACGCAAATAAGCAAACGTGGAGCTGCTGCTGCTGGTTTCTCTACCGTTTGCACTGATGCAGTAAACGAAGCAGCAGGTAAACATGTTTCAGTGAGGCTCATGGAAAATGTGAAAAGCTTCGCTCCAAATACAGAGACTTTTCTCCATTTTTCTTTGTTTACTTGCTGTATTTTCTTCTTTTGTGCTCTCAGTTTTCATTGGCTGTTGGAGGATTGATCTCTATTCACTATTCAATCTCTGTTCAGATTGAGTCGTTGATCAGTTTACACTAGATTTCACTCAGAGTCGGGTCGAAAAAACCAAACATTTGATAAACTCCGACTGGTCTGAAACGCGATTGGGAGGCCAAAAATCTTAGTCTGCGCCCCTCAAACACGACTCGACTCTCTCTCCAGCTGTCGACTCCAACTGACCCAAACATCTGCAGACTAGAGCCGACCAGCTCAGACTCAGCCAGAGTGAGAATCAGGGCTAAAATCGTGGGTTAAAGTTGTGTAGTGTAACCCGGCTTTAGTGGATACTACACAGGATTAAACCAATTCCACTGCAAACTGTGTTAGACTGTGCTGAAATACTGGCACGAAAGCCAGAGCAGGTAGGATTAGAGAACCGCTTTTGACTGACATGCAAAACATTGAATCATGGACCGTTTAGTGCGACATGCGCAATCTTGGTCACCTGCTGGAAAACGCGTGAGAATTTCTCATTTACCTGCTACCTACGGTTTCAAACAAAATTCAGGAATACCAACTAAAAATGGGATATCGCGAATGTCTCCTGGTTGAGCGACTTGGCCTGTATCTCGCTCTAAACGACTTACTTGTGAGTAGAGATGCATCTGCTTGCTACTAGCATTTAGCCTGATAAACAGTCATCTGTTTCCCATCAGACATTCCAGAGCCAGTTTTAACTCTGTGTCAGAGGTGAGTTCCTGAGAGCTGTGGTGATTTTAGTGTGCAGTTTATATCAGACAGTCTGTACTTCTGTATGCCTGAGACTGAAACTTCCTGATTACCCGGCTCCTCTTAGCAAGGCACTAGCAAAACGCTTTTCACACTTTTTCACACACATATTTTTTTAATGTGGTAATGATGTCTTGTCAACTAGTATAAATGAATAATTGTGCAATCCCTAATATATATACTCATACTTAAAAATGAGTTGCCATTTTTGGCCATTCCGTGGCTTCCCAAAATGATCTTGTGTATTCTAGACTAGAGGTCTGCATGGGACCATTGTTTTAGTCCTGCTCCCACAAAGTTTCATCCTGCTCCCGCCCACTTCCACAGAAAATCTGCACCTTTTGTCCCACTCCTTCCGTTTGGTCCTGTTTCTGCCCAAAGCCATGTCCATCTGTGTTAGTCATGACTGAAAATGACATTTCAAACTTGCCTTAAGTCGGCTGTATTGTCATGTTTACTTTTATGAACCCCTTGGGCTCATAAAACACTTCTATAACCTAAGAATAGCTCCATTAGTTTGCACTTAAGTCCCTATACTTACTGAATAATAAGGCTTTGTATGAAATAAACCTGGAATAATAAGGGGTTAAGAGCACTTTCCACAGCTACGGCCGATTGACTGTCTGAAAGCTCAGCAGTTTCTGAAGTCTACAAGAAAGCAGTTCACACGACTGTTTACGTGATTGGTTGCTTCTTTGTTATAACTGGTTTCTATTTTATTAATTTTCGGTATTTTGCTGTTATGTTTTATTTTAATATGCTCATTATTAGGTGACTGTTATCATTTTTACAAGGCCATTCATTCATTTGTGGGATTTCTCTACACGTATGTGATGTCATGCTCTCACCTGCACCGGATTGGATAACTGCCTGTTTTTGTGTGCGACACTGAAAATTTGCATCCCTGTCACAAGATACTGTGGTGGGTCCCACAACCTCTATAGACCTTCTGGTTTGTTTGCACAAGGTCAGAAAAACCTATTAACTGTTTGTTGACTGGAGTCATAGGGATGGTCATATAGATGCACCCGTTGACTGACTAAGATCAGTGTAGTCCAGCGGCCCATGACAGACACCAGGTATTGCATCTGTCTGAAGTGATTCAGAATCAGATTGTTCCCTGTGATGTGAACATAGCCTAAATATCTGCCATGTGCTCAGTCAGTTTGTCTATCCGCGTAAGTGTAATATAACCCTCACCCTCTCCTCAGCGCTGTCCTGCTCCGTCTCCTTGTCCAGGGCGTTGAGGGCGTTCTCCACCCGGGCCAGCCGCCCGCTCAGAGACAGCAGCAGGTTCACAATCTTCTCCAGGTCTCCGATGAACATGCGGTACTTCTCCCTCTCGTTGGGTTTGCAGCGCTGCTGCACCAGCGTCTCCATACTGCAACCGAGCTCGCTGTAGCGCTGCTGGTCCTCCGCCAGGCTCGCTCTCTCCCTGTGCAGCACTGCCACACTGACAGCCAGAGCCTGCATCAGCTCCACCTGCAAGACAGGAGGACACAATGCACTCAGCACAGTCCAGGCTATGTCATCCATCTAAAGACTAGCTCTTCACCTGCATGATGAAGTTTACACCCCCTTGAGTTCCCTCGAGTTTTTTGCTTTTGGTCTAGGGACTTGTTAGTGAAACCAGGTAGCTGTCTGTCTGTAGAGAGAGTACTACAGTGAGCAATGATGCTGTAAATTTAAACTGCAACCGCCTCTCCATTTTTATAGATAGCAGTATGTCATACAGTATCAGAAACTACATAAGCAAGTCTAGCCACGGCATTTCTAATAGGATCACTGTATTCCAAAGGTATTGGCTAAATATCCAGCTGGGGAACAGAAACACTGTTCATTCTTGTTTTTGCTTACTCTTTATCTGGTTGTCGTTTTATGTCCAATTAAATGTCTGTGACATGTTCTGAGATTGATGCTGTTGTCACTAAAGCTGAGTGAAGATGAAAAAATGCCAAGAACAGGAATCTTACAAGCATAAACCTCTCAGAAAAGCAGAGATTCAAAGGAAAACGTGGCTTTATCATCACGGCTTGAAAAAACTTGTTTTTGTTAAAAAATCCATGCTCAGAAAATCCAACCAGATAAACTGTCTGCTGAACATCACTGGTTGCTGCTGACAAACTCACTTAACTGTGTTACACTTTATATTCTCTTTTTAACTGCATATATTCTGCCCTCACTAGAATAGGCTAAGCAGGTCAACAGAAAGTTAACCCGCTAACAGATTAATGCTCCTATAATAAAAGACAGATGTTCAAGTTCAAGTTCAAGACTTTAGAGAAGGAGTTAATGCAATACTGCAACGCTGAAAGTAAATAATGTTACTTGTGACCCTTTTACAAGCTTAAAATGTCTGCATTTAAACTGACATCAAAATCCAAACCCCACAAGCACCAGCCTGACTTTCTGAGTAGGAATTCACAGTTAAGAGGGTGTTTTGAAGTGTATTAATCCTTAATGAACACTCTTATTATGTTCGCAGAATGGATGAGAATTTGACCTTCTTCTGGTTCAAATCTGACTCTTCCTCGTCCAGATCCGTCTCCATCCCCCCTTTCGCTGTAGTGTCTGCCACACCGGCTGCATCAGGAGCCCTGCGTGAGGAAACACCAAACCCGGAGAAAAATGTAAACGATGCAATGAAATGAAAATATTTGGTTGAAGCTGAAAATCAAGACACACTGGACTGAAAACCAAAACTGAAAAATGCTGACAGTGAATAAAAATTGGATTATCCAGATTGGATAATATACATTTACAAAATGATTACAGTATGAAGGCCACAGCTGTGCCACAAAACCCAATGTCCTCTACAGAGAATTGTTGGTCAGCCACAGCAATGATCTTCACTATTTCTAGTTATACTTTGCACTTTGGTGGTCATTTATGCACTTCATTAATGAAGTCAACGTCGGCGTCCTCGCTGTGACGTTCCTTTCTGCTTCTGTTGTTTTGCTGCGTTCTGCAACAGGCATCAAACCTGAAGTGGACAAGTTATCGTATCTCGTCTTGATACTCCAAACAAAGATCACAAGTCTCGTGTTCAGTATTCCTCAAAGAAACCATGAAGTAGTTCCACACAGCCGATATTTTCACTGATCTCTTGCTGCTCAAACTGTTCGAACGTGTCTGTGCTGACCAGTGCAAACAAAAGGAAACAAACAGCATTTTCATCACTATTTCTCACTCACTCTGCCATTAAAAGTACTGTAAGGTCCAACAATTTGACACTGTTTTGATCCCATTTAATCTTTTTTTTCTTTACATCCATTGTTTGCCACTTTTGACCATTTTCAGCTGAAAGTTTTGCTGCGCCACAGCAGCAGTGGAATAAACTGGATGTTGATTTTTGCGGAGGCATGGATGCCGAATGTCTCCTTAATGAAGTTCAGGCACAACTAGTGCTAGCCAACAAAAAATTGGATAGACTACACAACATCTCCCTGCCCTTTTCCACTTTAAATAAACAACTGACATTGCTAAAGCTGTATTCATTCAATTTCACTGGTAAACAGCGTTTCAATGGTTGCATGTCCGTGGTACCACTACCATGAATGGCACAGCGTTTTTTCAATGCCAGCATGTAAACGCAGCGTAAGAGAGGACAATGAGAAACAGACACATGCAGACATAGTGAACCCAGAAACAAACTAGATTCCACCCAGTAAGCAGGGCAGAAGTAATCGTCCTACTCACGCATGCCTCAATAGAAACAATGTCAGTGATGACGTAAGGCATGCGCCGCCTCTGCCCATCACACACAATTTAACTAACACAAAGCACATCAAAATGCACACACAAAATACTGTATAACTGTCATACTGTGGTATGTCTTGTCCTACACATTTTCCCCCTGAACATCACTGGATCCTCTGATCTATGAGTCCATTAAGGAGTTGAAATGTGAACACTGCTGCCTCCATGCTAACAGCGAGCTAAGGCTGGTTTTACACATAACTAAATTTCAATGAACTGCATAATGTCAAGCATCCTGCAACTTAGTTGAATCCTAGCTGCAACAATCGCAAGCGTCTCAACTTTGTGACACAAGTTTAATGAAACAGCCAATCGAGGCGCTAATAATAACGCATCATGTGATCATGCTTAACGACACACTTTCAAACCAGAGACCACTGATTTTTTTTTCACATTTTGTCAGTTGCCTGAGCCTTGACAACAAATGTGAGCATTTTTTAAGCTAATATTCCTGTAATATAATAATTTTAATAATATATTTTATATAATTTTAATAATAATAATTTTTTAAGCTAATACTCCTGTAACCAGCTGTGTTAAAAGCGAGCTAAAGCTAACAGACGTTGAAACGGCTGCTTGTGCCACCATTTATTCTTCTGTGATCTATGTAGCTAGATTTATTTCTCCTCTCTTGACACCCCAACTCAGATTACTTTAGGATTCAATGGATGAAAGCCAGAAATATAGATATAGGTATAAAAAATTGGCAACGACAGCTTGAGAACATCTATGAAAATGACAAATGCTATAAATATATTGATTTCACCTCTACAAACTACATGGTGTATCAAAACTACAAGCTGCTAATTTGTCTAACTAGTGGAGTAACTGAATGTGTTGTGTGCAACTTTTGGTTTCGGATGACTGTTTTTGAACTGCTTTGTTTTTACTTTTGGGTTGAACAGAAATTGTGTTGCAGGGAACTCAAAACACGCAACTAGTTGCATGAAAGTTTCACTGTGTACAGCCAGTCCAACACTTCCGCACAGTGAAATGGCGTCCCATGAAATGAGTTTACAGTTAAACACTTTTTTGAAAAATTGAAGGAATTCCTAATAATCAAAAGACATTCAGAGATAAATGCAGCTTAACGTTCGAGATGCTTTTTACATTTTGGGCAGCTCCTCCAAATATGCCCTATTACTGCCAAAGCACCTGAACTACCACACTGGACAAAGCTTGCTGCTTTGTGTGGGATATATGGGTGAGGTTGGCTGCCTTATGATGTCAGTTCAGTGTGCAGGAGTGTTAGGTAGCAAAACTCCCATAGAGAAATCCATCTTACACCCAGGCAAAATTCTACAAGCCTCTAAATGATACTAGTTATGTTAAATGATATTACTTACTTAATTACTATTTCATTGGTTATTATAATAGATCATCGAAATGAACGCTCCAACATATTTTTTAGGCTGAGTATATTCTGGTCCTTCAACACTAGGTGTCAGTGTTATCATGTTGTTGGAGAAGCTGGAGCAGCCCTGATTTTTTCCCTGTCAGAACTGGAGCAAACAACACAGCAGAGACGGCTACACAAAGATCACAAAAGACTAGAAATTCAAACCCACGGAGTTTCAATGAAAGATCTGTCTGAGAACCAGTTCATAACTTTAGCTTATCTAATAAAGGCTGATACAGCCTTAATAAACAACGTCCAGCCTGAATGTCAACTCCTTGTAAAAGCATCTTGAGTATTAAGCTGTCTATGTGTCTTTTGTTCATTAGGAACTCTATCTATTTTTCAAAGTTTATGCATAATTCACTTGTTAAGATGTAAACAGAGTCATTCAGAGTGGTTTGGTGTGAAACGCTCTGTTCTAGAGAAGAACTGTTCACTGTGGTGGTGATAGGAACCAGACGTCCACCTCTAAAAGCTCCCTCACAGAAAGTTACTACATGAAGTAGCTATAAATACACAGCCTGATGCCTGAGACAATGTTTTATGATAGTTCTGATGGATTTGGTCCAAAATCTAAGATTTTGGTCTAAAACATTTTTTATCCATTCATGGTGGAGAGACACATGCCAGGTGTTGCAAGGCAAAACAATGTCCCCAAAGAACTTTTTCACCTTTCCACTATTTTACCATCATCAACATCAACACCAGTTTTACTATCATCAACATCAGCAGTCATGTGTTCACTGGTGGTTTTGATAGTAAATAAAATGTCTGTATTTGTGTTGTAGTCATGGTGACCTCTGGTTCCTATCACCACCACTGCAAGGAAAGAAAAGAGTCTCTATAATAAACCATTTCACACCAAACCACTCCGAATTACTCTGTTCACATCTCAACTGATGAATTATGCAGAAATTCCCCTTAAAGAGCAATGTTATTATAGCAGCCAATGCAGACAACAAGCATGTACAGCTGCGGCCCAGAACACTGATAAACTGTAAACCTGGTAAAAGCCACTTAATACAGTTGATCCAAAGAAGCCCTTGTGTTCATCTCTGTTCTGTATCATATTCCCTGGTGGCCTCGTGGCATTGTTAATCTGTGCGGCTACCGGCGACAGAAAGACTTGTTGTGATAACACACAGCTAAAGCAATAATCTGAGTGCTAATGACATCAACTCCAACAAAGAGCTGCAGTGTTTACTGTCCCTATGGGCTCAGAATCACCCACATCACTCAGTTACATAACCCTCACAGAGCCCCCAGCTCTCCAGCTCTCTCTCTCTTTCACTTTAAAACCTCTATCTCTGCAATGAGTTTGGAGCTGATTATAATAGATTATAATATATTCTAGATGCACCAAAATGAAAATATTTGGCCGAAACCAAAACCAAAAGCCGGGAAGACTGGCACAGGAAAGCCTCACAAAGTTTGGTGCACCCCTATAACATACAGACATATGCAGAAGTTTGGGCGCCTCTGGTCAAATGATGTTTTTATTGATTTTCCCATGTTAAATTTGCAAATAAACAGAAAATGTGTACTAAAATTTGCCATATTTTGAGTGTGTTCTCTGTTATATTAATATATTATATTGTTATATTAACAAAACGTCATTTGACCTGGGGCGCCCAGACCTTTGCATAGGCCTATGTAATATCAGTGTCATTTCTGAAAGTTTGGGGGCCCTAAACCACATTCTCCTCCCCTTTTACGCCAATCATGACGTTAATTTTAGCACGGAATAAAGATTAATAACTGCTAAGGTACATGAAAAAGGGAAAAAAAACAGTTTCTAATTGTCTCTCAACTAAATTGCCTACATATGGAAAAATATGTACTACATAAAATGACATCGGAAAAAGGCATCAGATCGGGAGTTTTTGACACCATGTTGTGCGTCTTTATGTTATTATTTTGTTACTTTATGTTATTATAAAAGGTAGAACCCGTTAAAATGTTGTGCTGGATGTTTAGGTCTCAAATTATTGAAAAGTTGTTATTGCAAAAAATGTTATACTGCTGACGACATGATGACAATAGTAGATAATTCATACAGATCCTCAGAAGACACGTCCTTCACCAAGTTTTGAGTTCTATCTGCTTGGGTAAGGGGTCTAAACCACAACCCGCACTATAAAATGTTCTTCTGCACGTTGCGTGCAATTACAAATTTCCACCAGAGAGGTCTCCAAATCCCCAAATCTTACATAGCACAGTTTTAATAATCCAGCATAATCATGGAGACTGATTTACAGTAAGAAACGGCACTTACATAATTTTCAAAAAGGTATGAACTCATTTTTCAGCCAAAATATTATGTTTAAACATAAAAAAATATTATTTTTATTGCTACTGTGTAAATGTATTCTCCACTCAGTGTTCGCGTATTCAGTATATTCTGAATCATACTAAAATCGAACTGAAATTTGTGTTTAAATTGGCGTGAAAGCAGTGTCTCCTCAGTTTCTGGGTTATTTACCTGTCGCCTGGACAAGTGGTGCTGCTCCTCATATGCTGCTGTGTAGATGAGGAACGGGAGGGGAAGATGTCCTCCATTAGGTCCAGTGTGCTGGTGCTTGACCAGGCGTCCAGGAGTGGAGCTAGAGCCTCGTCTCTGTGCATCAGCTCACGAGCCAAAACCTCCACCTTCACCTCCGCTGCTGAGCGCTCTCTCCGGGACAGTGGGGGTGACTCAAGGCCCAGGCTTGAAGAGGCCTCCTCCTCCTCCTCCTCCTCCTCCTTCTCCACAGAACTGCCCTCGGGGTACTGGAGCGCAGACTCAGCTTCAGACTCCTCAGCTCTGATGGGGACCGAACTGGGGTCAGAAGATACTGGCACAGAGGAGTAATCATGTGGAGGTCCATCTTGGTGAAACTGATGCTCAGAGACACTGGAATGAAAATATGCAATCGGTTTATCTTTATCTGGGCAGGTCAGCTCCGGTCCTGGAGGCTGAAGTCCAGCACATTTTGGTGACTGTCCGGCTCAGAGGCAAATTAACTGATGAGTTGAATCAGGAGTGTTCAAGCAGAGAAATCACCAAACTGTGCTGGATGGAGCCCCTCCAGCACCTGAGCTGGTCACCCCGATCTGCAGTTAAAATACACTATATATTTAAATATACTTATATGTATATATTTATATATGTATATTTATATACAGATGTATATATACTTTATCAACTCTAAAGCATACATAAATAACAAAATTCATAATAACACCTTTTTTTACAATTATTGCACTATAGCTATTACAAATACATACAGTTTTCTAATTTATAAGACTACGTAGAAGTCAGTTACATACAAATATTACTTTATGTGCAGACATAATGTATGTCTTTATGTCTTCTGTGAAACTGTATACTATTTCTCTGTCTTTGTGCTCCAGTAGGACCCTCTACACCCTACCAGCCGCTTTTTATAGGCTCTGCAGGCGAATAACAGTGAACAGAAGTGTTTTATGACTGACCGAATAAACCATCACTGCCAAAAAGGGTTAAACAGAAATAAATATCAGAAAAAAACGAGAGGTAGACCCGAATAAGATCTTTTACTCAGACACTGACATGCCCAACATGCACTTCTTCTTATGATTGCATTTCACTAAGATTTAAGCAGCCGAATGGCTGCAAAGCTCTTCTCTGAGAATCTGCACACATCGGGTAGCTGAGCTACGAGTCTCTCCTCCTCACACGGCTTCTTCTTAAAATGTTTCTCAATACTCATCTGTTAAGTATTAGATGAATCGCTAGTATAACTGCAACTAGATATTCTTTCAAACTAAGAGTTGGGAAATTCGGCGAGGACAACTCTGTAAGTTACTTTTTCGAAAGTGCTGCTTATTCCACCGCTTTTTCTCCCACTGTCTCCTTCACTCTCTCACTTTCCTCTGATGCAAGCTTTGTTCATATAGCAATCAAAATAAAAGCTCATTGTTTAAACATGTATTTCTTTATATATATGTGGCTACCTGTTCAGCTCAGGAGGTGGTGCAATGTCCTCAATCGTGAGCGGCGGGCGCGGAAATGGGAGGTCCTCTGTAATGTCTGTCTCTCTGATAGGCAGGGGAGGTGGTGGTGGAGAAGGCGGAGCTAAGAAGACCTCATCATCCTCCTGTGACACGACTGGAGGTGGAGCGAAGTGGAGACTGGACTCTGAGATCCGCAGAGATAGAAGGGGCTTAGTGGGAGAGGTGGGGCTTTTGGGAGCGGTGGGTGGTCCTGAATGGGACGACCTAGGAGGCGGATCAGAGAAGAAAGGTGCGTGTGAATCTGTGACTTTGACCTCTAAGTGTGGAGGTGTCAGGTTAGTGGTCGTCTTTGGTGCTGCGGTCTTCTGGGTGGCCGAGAGGTCTTTCAGGACGTCTCCGGAAATGTCGTCAGAATTTCGCTGCGCCGTTCCTGATGTTCTGAATGAACTCTCGTGAACGGTGCCTGGGAAGGTGATAGCGTCCAGGTTGGGTTGGCACTGCGTCTCGCCAGCTGTGAGGGAGCCTGGAGGAGAGAACGGGCACGGCAGTCCCACAGAGGCAGCCAGGCCGGAGGCGCTGTGGGCCCGGGGCCGGTCCGAGTGCCGCTGTCTTTCCCTCCTTGTCACAGGGGTGTTCATCTGGCTCGGACCTGGGTTCAGCAGGTAGTTCCGCTCCAGAAGTACTGAGCCCAGTGACGCTCGCTCAGGTGCTGCACTCCCCAGTGCTCTGTTCCACACAAACACAAAGAAAGAAAGCATAAAAGTGAATCTGTCAAATGTCAAAACAGGTTGCATATTTTTCATTTCTCTCTTGTTCATTTTCATTCAAAGCCAAAGATAATTTACCACATTTTGCCAACTTAGAATTCTTTCACACGACAACACAAGATCCAAAATAGCAACAGCGGGGCTTGCGGCTGATAGAGGCATTGACCAATTAAGGCAGAGAGAAGATCAGGATTGCCATAAAAGTCACTGCTTTTTAAACAGTTTTCATCTGCCATCAATATGCTTACTCTGTAAAGGACAGATCTGACGCACTGACCTCCAGGACGTCTCAATCCCTGATATTTGGTGTTAAATATGTACTGTTTATTTTAGACCCTGTTTGTTGAAGATCCATACAATACTGACAGTAATCACTCGAGAGAGAGAGACATAGCAAATACCGGATTGTTGTAAAGAAACAGATATAATCCATAAAGCGACTACAAGTGAATCAGAATATTAGAACCAAGCTGGGTACCCCTGGTGTAAATCTATGAAGTTTGTACATCTTAAAAAACTTGTAACTCCAAGTATTATTTTTTTTTGGATTTCACTGTTTTACATCATTTGAAACCACCCACTGCCCCTTACACCATGTGACAATTATTTGACAATGGACCAATTTCCATGTTTATGAAATGAAAGTCATGAAAGTTTTTATCTTCTCCTATAGGGTTACAATTCAGGGGATACAATGTTTTCTTACAAAAAGCAAGTTCGCTGAAGTGTCCATACAGACAAACTCGGTAATCAATAGATGCCCTGGGCATCAATACTGTGTTCCGCCTGGAGCAGCACCATCACAAGCACCATTTCAGGCTGTCAGAATTAAATTTAATATTTAAATATTTGTCAAAGCAACAGTGACAAGCTGACAATCTATGACAAGTGTAATCAACAGGAGCATTGCCTGTAGGTTGTGATGCAAATCTGCCAGGGGTGTTTTGCCTACATCATGCGCTTTAAGGCTGTCAGAAAATGTCTACTCGAATATTAAAAGCTACCTGTTATGTTGTGACATTGTCAAACATACAATGGCTACAAAATGGCATTACTGACCATAAATAAATAAAAGACCCAACAATGTTATTTTAGGTTTTGAAATATTGTATTTGTAAACATCCAAATGCTCTTTAGCAGCTCAGTCATTCTGACTAATGCAGAAATACATTTTAATTTGTGGTAACTGAACTGTCTGCCTCAGATGGCCGACTATTTCTGACAAGCCAACGTTCTAAATGTGGATGTTTTGTAGTACAGTATACTAATAAACGTGTGATATATATAAGGTGATGAAGTAAACAGCTGCTTGGCTAAGCGCTACTGCAGCCACCCATGTCACTTAAAGACTTTTACTGCTCCCAGTACGTAAATCCTGGAAGAGCCCCTAAATTCAGTTTTAGCTTATAAAGACAACGTGCTACCACTGGTGTGAGGGACTTAATGGAAAAGTCATTCTCAAAAACACATAAGAATTTAAAGAATCGGTTTATGCACCTCTTTTAGACAACCATCTCACTACCCCAATATGAACATATTTGAATGTGTGACTGAAAAGCAAGCAGGAAATTTAAATTTAATTTCTTATCCCAGTTGACAGTCCTCTTGGAGCTCATTACTGGGTATACAAAAGGATAAACACACATAGTAGTAATGTAGTGCTTAGCAATTCTGTATTTTTGGGAGTTCCCATGCAATGCCGTGGGCAGAAGGACAGTGACCTGGAAGAGGCGGATCATTCAGAAGACAAAGCAAATGAACAGACATGAAGTCTGCTGAGAGTGTTAACCATGGTACAAAAGCATATGGACACACACCTGTTTTCAGGCGGCTCTTTAGAGACGATCCCAAACAATCTGAGGTCTCCGGCAAAGAAGTCCTAGAAGCAGAAAAAGAAATTGTTACTGTGGAGCTGGAATAGCAACAGGGAAATGAATCAGAGCACAGGAAGTTAACCATTATTCTGTAATTACAGCAAGGCCGGAGCATTCTAGGTCTAGGGGCCCAGTTATGTGGAGCATATCACGTTAATTTTTTATCTCAAAAGCATGCCATGATCACTTAACCACTCAACTACTGTTAATGAGAAATACTGAAAACACTCAAATGGTCAGCTATTACAAGGAAATGTAGCTTTGCTGTGGCCGTCATCTGACATATGTTTTCTGTTGTGCAAAGCAGTCCTGGTCCATTTAGCTTTGTTGATGTGCTTGTAGCCCTTTGTTGACACTTTTCATCTGTGTGAACCCAAAACAGTTCCATGAAGCAGTTACTGAACATATCTGATAAAAAGATACTGATTTAGCTACAGCATGATCAGTACTCTGAAAACATATTGTGAAAAGGTCACTGTATCTTAAGGGTCATTACATAATATTAGTATGAATTAGTAACGGTAGACTCTTTTTTTAATGCATCTGTAAAAAAGTTTTGATGACTAGTTTCAGTGATAGTGACTAAGGGGGACTAATATGACGATATTTTGTCGTATTGTGACGATATTTTACATCACGTGGATATTGTCAGTACTTAACACTGACCAACTGCATATTTCATTACAAAAAGAGCATAATTAGTCCTGTTTAACTGGACATATTGCAGCACAGTATGTAAATGGTAAACAAAATCATGGTACATGGGTTTTTATAGTATTTGTCCTGTAAACCTGTCTTGCCAAGACCAGCTACTGTTTAGAAAGACTAGATCTGTATTTTGCTTCTTTTCATTGTGGGAAACTTAAACCAGACTTGACTCTGTCAATATAGAATATTAACTGAAAGCTGATTTGATTCATTACACAATTATGTAATTATGTAATTATGTCAGTCAAACAGTACAGCAAAATCAAAGTAACAACTCTAGAATTCTACGCCTTAAGTCTGTTATACTAAGTGAATCTGCAGGGGTACAGCTCACTTTTCAATGATTCACCAAAGAGTTTTAAATGACCAAGAAGTTTGGACTAAAAGTAGTTAAAGACCAGTTCAGGTTTCATCTCGAAAAGGAATTGTTTTTTTTTTTGGCTCGATCTCTCATTTGGACTGGGTCTTGTCTTAGTCTTGGCCCCCTTTAGACTCAACCTTGACTATTTATAGACTTAAGCTTCCTTTGGACTCAACAAAAGTGGTCTCGAATACAGCCCTACACAGTATTTTTGAGACGTGATTTTTCTGTCCCAATTTATCAAACAAAATATGACGATGCGCATCATTACTCGTGAAAATGTCTTCAAGTATCATTATATTTTTATTCTATCACCCAACCTGGACGAATCTAGTACATTTGTTATGTTTACTTGGACAGTGCATAGAAACTAACAGTGCTCCAACTCTTCAATGCTTGCCGTCCCTGCAGTAACTCATTGTCGTGTGAAAAACCCTGATGTTTATGTGAAGTGTAATCGTTCTCAGAGATAAATAGCCACCCCTTAACCATCCCAAACGTTTCCTGGCTGAAACCCTGGCAGTTTGTCCGTTATCTCCCTCGACTCCTCCCCGTAGTCACGGAGGGAACACTTTTATCAATTGCACATCTATCAGCACTCTGTCTGCAGCCAGGCTCGGTGGCACCAAACAGGAAGTGAAGAGCACTGAACATTTCCTGGAGTGGCCACTAAGCCGTTTATCTGTTCCTTGTCGTCCTTAGCTGAGGAAAAATGAGAGATGGGACAACGCCCCGACACCCCCCCCCATTAGAGCCAGACCACTAAACACCACAGAGCCCATATCTGACCGTGCTCTTGTTTTACCCACCCTTGTGCTTTGCTCAAGCTTATCTGAACTCATCAGATATTAATTAAACAATGGTTAATTCATAATGAAAATTTACAAAGACTACTGTAATTTAGACTGCAGTTTAGAAACCAGCTCTAGACAAAAACTGATGTTCAAAGGCGGAACCACCACTGACAATCTAATTTGGTGCATGAATAATAGCCCTCTATGCCTATGTACTAAAAATGTAGATCAGGAAACTGTTCAGACCAATCTTGACACTACAGATTTTACTGATTTTCTTGCAGAATGCACTTGGGCTTGTTAGCCTGCTTTGTTGCTCCATGTCAAGATTTCAACAGGGCAAGGGACATTTTCAGAGGATTTTATGAGTGGGGTTTTGTTATGACTGGGTGTGGAGTGCAACCTTTGATTCCTCTTTATAAGTATGCCTTGCATTTTGCCTTGTTTTGCATTCTGCAGCCAACAAAAACTAGACACACTGTGAGATGTCCTGCTTTTTTCTGTTTGTTTTTGTTGTTTGGTGATGCAGTAGGGTGGTTATTATAACTAGACAAGAAGGATCACAACCATGAAAGTTAGTGTTTAACTTTGTAGATATATAAAGACATTGCAGAAAGTTCTTATGTAAGCTTGACCTTGCAGTCACAAAACCATGTAACAGTTCACAAAGCATAACCCCAGTAATCACAAAATGGAAATTATGTGAGGAATGTTTTGCCCTATACTAATGATAAACCCACTCATTACCTTATTGTAATTCTCCACAACTGGAGAGGATCTTGATCTGAAGTGCTGAGTAACCGGGCGTTCTTCAGTGCAGTCCAAGAGGTCCTCTGCAGAAGCTGACTTGCCTGAACTCCTGGCTGGGGCAGATCTTTCAAACACTCCATCCTTTCTTTGAGGAACAGGGCCACTGCAGAGGTCTTGAGCCGGAACATTGACTTGGATGGGTCTCTCTAGAATCCTTTCTGGTTTCTGAGGCTCTAGAGGCTGACCCTGTGGCCTAGGCTGGTAAATTTCAGGTTGAGCCTGTGCCTGTGTGCCCCTGTTGGGGTAAAAAGGCAGCTGCACATTGGCCATGAGTGTGGAGGACTGGCGGTTAACTCCAGAAACACCCTCCGGCCCTAGCTCTTGAAGGGAGCACAGACTGGGTGTAGATGTTAGGCTTTGAGAATCTGTAGAGGAAGAGGAGGCTGACTGCATGTAGGCACTGTGGGGACGATGTGGACGTCCGTCCATCCGTCGACCTGTCTTGCGCTCCACGTACTCAGCCAGAGCATCTTGCTGCATCTGCTTCAAATCAGGCCTTGAAATTGCCGGTTTAGGGCCTGCACTGCGACTAGCCACAAGTTCAAACATCCTGCGCCGATCTGCAACGCTTGTCTCAGGAATCAAAAACTGTGGTGCCTTCCTCTGAAATGAACCAGACTCTTGATCAGAAATCCCAACTTCATGCATGTTTTCTGGCTCAGAGTATGACATTTTCTTCTGTTCCATGGTCAGTCGCTTGCGTCCGCATATTCGCATGACTGGAGGCCCTACTGGAGGAACACTGGGAAGCTCAGGAGGAACACTTCTATCTGGTACCTCAACAGGGACAACATGTCGTTCTTTAGGAGTGTGTGGAGATGTGGTGGGTTTGGGACTCGTCTTGGGTCCCTTCCTTTCCAGAGACATGTGCTTGACAGGCACAGGAGGAGGGTTTACACTCAAGTCTCGCCTTCGGAATGAAGTGGATCTCAGCACCTTGGACTGAGCATCCTTGATGCTATCCCTGTATGCCCGATTAAAAGAGGGGTCCTGAACTGTGCCTAAGAAATCCTGAAGATCATCCTTCCACTGGAGGTCTTTGCCATTTTCCTCAACAAGTTGAAAAGTGCTTTTGCTTCTGTGGATGTCTTTGCCATTGTTCTCACCAAGTTGGAAGGAACTCTTGCTCCTGTGCAGATCATGTGGTTTCCTGTACTGAGTCTGATCAGTGCTCCCATACCTCGGCCGTAAGTCTAGCTGTCCTTCCATGCTTCCCTCATGGCTTGCCATAGCAGAAGCACTCCGAGTTCTCCCTTGAGGATAAGAGTGGTTTTGTAGATCCTCCAGACCAGAGAGGGAACTTTTGGCACTGCGGGCAGCCTGACTTGGACGTGTAGAGGAACTGTAACTGGAAAGGCTGCTGTGACTGCGTGGTTTGGTCTGCTGTCTCTCAAAGTGACTAATTTTCTCTAGCACAGACATGCTACGCTCACTCTGGACGCTGTTCTGACTAGTACTGCTCTGTGGGCTAGCACATCTCTGGACCTCTGCTAGAGCATTCTCTAGTCGGGTTAAGGGATGATCTAGATCCTGGTCCCTCTGCTGATAGGCGCTGGAGTCGCTGTGGTGCCTTCCTGAGGAGCTGATTTTCTGGTCACTTCCTTGTGCTTGGGCTGTGCTGCCTCTGTGAGGTTGGGCAACCTGTCCCTGTGCAACTTTAACGGATGTATGAGCAAGCTGTGGATGGACATTCTGTTCCTGATACTCTTCATCTTTAGGTTGTCTGTAAGATTCCATAATGTCCATGCCATGTGAGTACCTGGGTCTCTCCCCCCTTGGCTGAACCGGGGTGTAAGGGTCTCTCCTCTCTGGCCCCATGGACGATGCTGGGGGCATGTACCCCTGTGGTTGTAAATGTGACCTGTAGAAACCATATTTGGCTTGGGGGTCATCTTGCACTTGGCCGGACTGCTTGGGAGGTGGAAGAGCATGGGGCTGGACAGCGCTGGAGTAGGCAGCAGTGCTTTGGTATCCATTTTCTACAGCCATCCTGGCTCCAGTCTCTGATACTCCACAATGGTCCCTTTCAGGCATGTGATTGTTCTCCTTGGCAAGTGCTGGATACACACTACTGGAGCTAGGATTAGTAGTAGGTATTTGTGCAAAATGGGGCTCTGGCAGTGGAACAGGGTAGACTCCAGTGGGTAGCATAGCCCGTCCAGGCTGCGAAGAAGCAGGGAAACTTTGTTTGGGTTTAATGGTGGGACTACTCTCAGGACTCTTTTCAATGACAGTGTGAAGCTGACCCTCAAGGCCAAAAGATGACTTCCCTGAAGCTACAGAACCACTTGAGTGATGCCAAGAACCCTTGTGAAGGGCCCTCAAGGACCGAGCATGCTCAAGACTCGACCATGAGTTAGGCCGCTCGTGGTTCCGGATAGCTGCATAGCTGTCACTGCGTAAAGGAGGCGCTGGCGCCCCCTTAAGGTTTTCATAGGAGTTGCGGTTATGTGTTGGGCCCCATACTGGGCCTACACTGTGGCGGTGAGATGTGCCACCACTGCTGCTTCCGCTGCTCCCACTACTACTGCTGCTACTGTTGGCCCGGTGACAAACCCCACCCTGAACATTTCTTGACTGTGCCTTCGTCTCATTCCTCAGCAGCGCTGCGGAAGAGACCTCATGTTCTTCCGACACACCCTGTTGGGAGTCGTAGACAGTGCGAACATAACGAATATCTGCCTGCTGCATGCCCTCTGCAATTCTATGTTGCGGAACACTTTCCATAGAATATGACCGCTCCTTGGTGAATGATGGTGCAGTTGCAAGGTACTCTGGGATACTAGAGCTGGTGGAGAAAGAACTATATGCAGAATCGCGCTTGCTGTGTAGGTGGTCAATGCTGTTGGAGGATTTGGAGGCTGAGAGCTGGTTGCAGGAACTGTAGGTGGGGTGAGGGGGATCTAGGCTCTCCATGCTTCCCCGTGAACTGTACTGGTCTGGACTTTTCCTCAGAAAGCCCGCATCATAGCCAGACAGGTCTGTGGTGGAAGCACTGTGTGAAACAGTAAACAACAAATTCAGTATGTAAAAAGGGCAAAAAATTTCACAGAATGATGGAAGGCATGAGTATAATAGTTTATCTGAAATTATACAACAGTTAGCTCCGGCCACGCAAGCTGATTGGTTGAGAGGCGTTCTAACCGTGCTGTTATTTCGCCATAACATCACATTTTTTTCACAAACACTATATCACTCCGCTGAGACGGCGTTGCTAAGCCACGACTTTGACAGCTGTAGGAGACGCTCAAGTAGAGCTGGGCGATATGGCCAAAAATGTTATCATGATAAACAAAATTCATATCGTTCGATATCGATACATACCGCGATAAATGTCAAATCATTGTTTCTTTCAAGTTTGAAGGCTGATTTTTGCTCCTGGGTGGTTAATTGCTGTTTTAAACTATCCTTTATGGTCAGAACACGACAAACACTCAAACAGTGGAACATTTCACAAATCTGTCACGGGAAAGTGGGAGAGAGTGTCTGCTGAGCTGTTTTTATCAGCTGGAAAAGCACAGCCGCAATTTTTGTAATAGTCATAATTTAAGAAAGAAAACATTATTTTTAGCTGTCTGGTGACGAGCGCTCGGCTATCCCATTACAAATGCTAAACAAGTGGCCAACAACAGTGCTAAACTGTCAACAGCAAACATTAGCTGGCTCGGTAGGTCAGTGATGGATCACACTGCCTCACTGCCATCACTCCTACCACATCCATGTCAGAGCACATCACAGTATTCAAACACCAGCTAGCCGCCGACTGGATTTCTCTATTCTATCATAGTAGTTTGAGGGGTGAACCGCAAAATATCAACACCAGACAAACAGAGTCTTCTTTTTAGTTTCGTTTAAACTGAAAGCGGTGCTTTTGTGTCTTGTTTGATCTACAGTATCATCAGTTCGCTGTGTTGTGGAGTGACGGTGCGCTACTTCAAGTTAGCCAGCTGCTAAAAACAGCTAGCCTGGACAGATAGCGCTCTCCCGCTTCCCAATGCCTCACAGCTTCCTCAGTTTACTTTTGTTTAAATCAGGACTGTATCTTGTATCTAAAAACTCAGAAGTGCGCCCTCTCCTGGCGACAGCAGAGTAGTGTCGCATTCCTTGCAGTAGAAAGTCAGGGCTGTCGCTAGAACGTGGAAGTGTGTTGTATGGTGTATTATATTGACAATTTATCGAACCTTTCTTATCGCTCTATTGAGGAAAAGTTATATCGCGATAATTATCGTTATCGTCCAGCTCTACGCTCAAGCCATTTAACGTTTTTATAACACACTCCCTCTCGGGTTCTACTGCTTAATTATCACTCAAATTTTGTCTTCTTTTCTTTAACATCTGTTACCCTATCACCAAGTTTGACTTTGATTTGATTCTGAAACTGGTCACGCCAGGTTTGTTTTAAAATCAAGACAAAAGATGTCACAAAAACAGAACATTATGCTTTAGTGAGATAGCTGACTAGTGAAAATGACTAGAATGTTGTAGCCATAGTTATTTAGAGATTATGGGAACCTTACAGTAACCTTCTAAAGGAAATGCACAGTACTTTCCTTTGTGCGCATTACAGGTGGCAGGTAAATTAATGGATGTTACGAACTTGGACTGCCATCAAAGAGAGTAATTCAGTCCCTGCTTAGATATAATAAAATTGCATATCTTCAAACAAGGTGGTATTATTGTCACTCTTTGTGTGTGTTATCTTTATGGCTTAATGTAATATTCTTTTGAGGATTAGACATTATATGTCTTGTGAACTATACCCAATCACAAAGTCTAATACCAATAAATGTGTGGTATGTTTACAGTCTTTGCAACAAATATTTGGTATCGATTACATAGCAAAAAACACTTCTTCCTGCTTTCCTCTTTTGTCCTCTCTTCTCGTTCTAACCTTCTTCGCGATAACCTTGATTTCTCTCTTTGCTAAGATAGCCACTCTGTCTCCCTTTGGGAGGTTGGAATTTGCATGTCTGTGTCTCTTCTTGTGTGTGTGTGTGTGTCCAGGACAGTGATCTCATGGGGATGTAGTGGCGTCTGCCCTTGTATGGGGCGGGTTAGATGGCACCAGCATGCTGGTATTTCGACTGGCATAATTAACACGATGTCAGTGACCCTTCAGTGGACACAATGGCTCTGCCTTCACTCCTCCCTCAACTGAGAATCAACCAATTACAGACCAGTCCTCTGAAAATTTGCCAGCCTTACAATGCTCAACCACCAAACAATGACAATCAGCGCTTAGAATTTAGGATCCCAATAGGCGTGCCTACAGAAATGGTTGCCATGGGGACATCGGAGTTGAAGGAGATTCACCCTAAGGCATGTTCTCTTGGAAGATCGCTCCCCCAAACACACAAACACATTCTCACTCTGTTTCTCTTGATCATCAATGATACCATTCATATGATCTTTTTCAAAAATTGAAAATGTTACCAAGATTAAAATGTGAAAAAAATCCATTTAGATCCATTTTTCTAAAATACGGAACTATCTAGGGATTCCTGAGGACTGGTTCAGATCAGATGTTTTCAAACTGTGGGTGGCTAGTCACTGGTGAGTCACAAGGTGGGGTCGCGTAAGTCCCAAGAAAGCCTCATCAGTGCATACTTCTATCATCAATTAGCCCCTTTTCATTGCAGCCATAAAATACTGTTTTCACCTGTCCCTCGGTTGAACTATGCAATTTAATGCTGATGAAATACACTGACCAGCCACTTCACATGTCCACCTCCTTGTTTCTACACTCATTGTCCATTTTACCAGCTCCACTGACCACACAGTTTCACTCTGTAGTTCTACAGTTACAGACTGTAGTCCATCTGTTTCCCTGAATACTTTGTTACCCTGTTCTTCAGTGGTCAGGACCCCCACAGGACCCCCACAGGGCATGTATTATTTGGGTGGCAGCTCATTCTCAGCACTGCAGCCACATTGACGTGATGGTGGCGTGTTAGTGTGTGTTGCGCTGGTCTGAGTGGATCAGACACAGCAGTGCTGCTGGAGCTTTTAAACACTGTGTCCACTCACTGTCCACTCTATTAGACACTCCTACCTTGTCAGTCCACCTTGTAGATGTAAAGTCAGAGACGATAGCTCATCTGCTGCTGCACAGTTTGTGTTGGTCATCCTCTAGTCCTTCATCAGTGGTCACAGGACGCTGCCCACAGGACGCTGTTGGCTGGATATTTTTGGTTGGTGGACTATTCTCAGTCCAGCAGTGACACTGAGGTGTTTAAAAACTCCAGCAACACAAAACTGTAAGCGAACTAGTTTTTCATCTTTGTAGGTGAGGAAGCAAGTCACCATTTATAAAAGGGTTTTTGTTGTGTTTACATTTTTTGATATCAAGGAAAATGCAGTTTTGAAGTGCTGTCTGTTTTATCTCCATCTCTGTGAAGAGGAACTGTGAGTTGCTTCACAGCAGGGGGTTCTCACCTCTCCCCTTTCTGTCTTCATTGCTCACTAGCAGCTCAACAACATTTCACACAGAGAGAAACAACAGTAGCCACATTTACATGCAGCCTGATAATCCGTTAATAATCAGACTAATAGCTCAATCGGAATAGAATACGTCTTGTATACACTTCAATAGGACTAGTCTAGTCCGATTTTGGCCATTCGGAATACAGTTTCTATCCGACTGATCGAGGTGGGTAATCCTGTAAATAATCTGTTAAATAGAAGAATAATATCCGTGTAAACGCCTGTATCTGATTACATTCCCTATCGGAAAGTTTAAGTTCTGATCATGTTCGTCACGTCATAGTGAAAGTTTATATGGCGGTGGGACGGACGTCCAGCTTATGTGTCTCAGAGCACGACGTCTTCCTCTCGGCCTTCTTTAATAAGGACATGTGAAGGACGTTTTCCTGAGTCTGACATCATTTTAAAGCAATTAAAAACACAAGCACTGCTCACTGCTGCTCATCTCACTCTGACTGGACTCACGTGATGCTGGTTGTCATGGTAACGTCTACACTAGGTGGTTCTCTACACATGCGCATCATTTTAGATCAGATTACTTGTAGTGTGCATGTAAATGGGGATTTTCCATCAGATTGTTGAGTAGAGTGAACATGTAAACACTTTGGTCTTAAATTGGAATGTATTTTTTTTGGACTGGCACAAATCTGTGCATGTAAGTATAACCACTATCGTAGCTCATCACAGCAGAATGGCCATTAGTTGACCTGCCGAAAGCAGTCAATCTATTGACTATTATTCAATTCATTAAGTAACGTAACCATGGCTTATAGCTTTCGTAGTTTCCTCTCACTTCGACCTGATACAAGCAGTTTTTTCTTTTAGGGTGCAATGAAACAACAGAAGCAACATAAACATTATAAAGCATTATAGGGCGCTTTTCTTTTTATTTAAACGACACAGTTTTCCATTATTGTCACGAACATTCTGACTAATTGATGAAGCTCCAGTGAAGTGTGTGATGTCTCTGACCTGGAGTGGTAGCTCTGGTGCCAGGGAGCCCCCATCGCACCCTGGGATATCTGCATCATGCTGTCGGGGTCCAAAGGGCCCTCACCCAGCTTAGTGGAGTGCCAGGAGTGGGGACGGGACCCAGGTTCACTGCGCCTTAAAGGGAGAGAGAACGAGAGACAAAGATAAGCACAGTTGCCAAAGTGCAAAGCAGACAGGGACCAGGCATTTAGGCCACGGACAAAGAACAGCCAACAATGGGGAGACCCATTCCTCTCTCTCTCTCTCTCTCTCTCTCTCTCTCGCTCTCTCTGCCTGTTCCTACTTTTTACACATAAACACACACACAATTGTGCACAACATATTTTTGAAACACAACCCCAATACTCTCATACATCCTTATAACACCAAAACAAGCCTTAAAAGAAGACGTTCAATACAGAGACACCCAAAGATAAACAAGCCCTATGAATGCAATTTAAACACTCAGCTCAAACTGACCAATTACTACAAGGAATTTTCTAGGCCACTGGGGATGTGTCCAAACGGCCTTTTGCAAAGTGCAAGAGGAATGTGGAACTGGCTCTCTATCAGAGTCAGATCAGATAAACACCTCCAAATAAACACTTCCTAGTCCAGAGCATCTCCCAAAGCAGCTTCAAACAAACTGATAACTACCTTATGCTTGAGTCAGGTTAGAAGGAGGACTTTAGAACAGATACAATGGAACTTTCAGGCTCTTTCAGCTCTTTTGAGAATTTCAAATGTGTATATGTGGAGATGTGGAGATGTGTATTTTGACGTTGTACTGACAATAAAAAACAAAAAAACAGATGGTTGTTTTTCTGCAGTCTATACAGAAATAGTCTTCTTTCTCAAACAGGGCTGTCATTGTCTAAGCTTTACAGATTTGCACACAATGCAAGGTGACAGGTGGCTTTCAAACGGCATCAACACCACTGATTTTCTGATTTTACACTCACTGGCTACTTTATAAGGTATATCTACCTTGTATCTACTCTCATTGTCTAATCTGGTCAACTTACAATACAGGTGCACTTTTTACCCTATAGGTCTGCCTTTACCCTATTCTTCAGGGGTCAGGACCCTCTCCTATTATTTGGGTGGTGGACCATTCTCAGCACTACAGTGACACTGACGTGGTGGTGGTGTGTTAGTGTGTGTTGCGCTGGTCTGAGTGGATCAGACACAGCAGTGCTGCTGGAGTTTTTAAACACTGACCAGTCTGTAATCGCAGAGCTACAAAGTGCACCTATATGATAAGCGGAGCTGATAAAAATGGACAATCAGTGTACATACGTGGTAGATATCATATTACATTAGGTATACCTCATAAAGTGACCAACGAGTGTACAGGTTGTAAATGGTTTTCAACTGCTTGACCTTCCTGAAAAGGTTTATAAGGCTGGGCAATATGTGACCAAATATGTGCCTGTGCACTTATCATCCTTTTTTCTTAATTTAGATAGGGAGAGAGAGATAGAAAGAGAGAGAGAGAGACAGAGACAGAGAGAGAGACAGAGATTATTCGTTTTAACACTAAACAGCTGTTGGAACAACAATAAAAGCACTGCATGAAACATATTTGTTTCAGTAACCTGGAATTTTATACGTTTTAGCCCAAACTGTTTCTGCTGCTCAGCACATACACATATATCGCTGTTGTCAGAACAAAACCTTGTATCTCCATTTTTGACAAGTACCCATGCTCATATATATTGTGAGTAAATTTCATGAAGAACGGACCAACAGAAATGACCCGAAATTACTTGGAAAAAAAGTCTGGTTCCACAGACGTACATTAAAAGTAAAACAGGTTTTTTCTTCTCCTGTAAAGTTGTCATTTTGGAGATACGAGGTTTTCTTCCGACAACAGCGATATACTAGTTTGACAAATGTCTAACTGACCTTAGTCCTAATCCTAGCCTGTGCCCTGGGCAGCATTAACCCTGCAGACCAGCCTGACCCATTCAGATCTAAATGGCTTAAGACCAGCAGCCAGCTCAGAAAGAGGCCAAAGACTAAGCTAATCAAGATTTTGTTCATATGTGGTTCTAGCACATGTGGCTGATTCTACACAACTGGCTCTAAACTGAGCTCAAACACCATTTCTGTAATCCCACCCTCTCATTATGACTTCCTCCTGCGTCAAGAGTTTTTCAGACCACGTCACATGTCTTTACGTATTAACGTCAAACGCACACGCTCATAAGGAAGGTCTGGCGCAATGTTTAGGTCCCAAATGCAAAATCAACATCATACTGATGAAGATATGATGACAACAGTAGATAATTCACTCACACCCTTGGACAACATGTTCTTCACGAAAGTTTCACTGAGTTCTCTTTGCATACTCTTTCAACACGCTCATAGGCATGTGATTCATCCACTCGGGGAAGGGGTCCAAAGCACAACCCACGTTACAAAATCTTGCATGTAATTACACAATTTCACCAGAGAGGTCTCCAAATCCCCAAAACTGATACAGCCAAGGTTTATGAATAAATCATGCTTGTGCGAGTTGTTTCAACAGAAAATACTAAATCAGAAGTCACTTATATGCGGACCGTGGTCCGAGTCCGGACGCACACGCTGTCCTATGAGGACCTGGACCTATAACCGATAAACTAGGGATGATTATTTAATTTCGACGGGATGGTCCTATTTTAATTGCCGTAACTTTTCTAGCCTTTATGGTAGCTTGAGCAGCCCAGGAGACTCACAGACCAATCACATGCGTTGTAAATATCACACGTGGCGCTACTCAGCCAATCAGATCTGTGCATTATGATGAGCACTGACACTCGAGTGAGTGTCGCACACACAGGGGAGGGACGAGGTGAAAAACAGCAGTCGGTAAAGAAAGTGAGTCAGAGGGAAGTTATTTCACATGGCGTGATCTAAAAAGAGAAAACTGACGATAAGTGTTGCTGAAATATGACTGAATTGTACTTTATTTGATTTGACATTCAGTTGTTGACTGTATAAGATGTTGATATACCTACTAGGCTACTTCAGTAAACAGTATATGGCACTGAATCATAATGCAAGTCAGACATTATGATGTTCCGGACCTTCGCTTGAGGAAATTTTCTCTAACTGGACCTTACTGAATTTTAATTAAAGACCCCTGTAGTATATACTCTTATTTTTATACTCTATATACTCTATATTTGTACTTTTATTCCATTTAAATGTCAATTAAATTACATTTCATATCAGAACTATGGCGCACAAGCGTGCAAATGTATGTTGGTCCTGTGTACCTTTCTATTTGATTACAGTTTTTGGTGACTGTATGCAGGTCTTTTGTTCGATTTGACTTCTGCAAAGACCGTCACATATTTGTTGAGTTTCCTAGCTGTGTTTATCTGGATGTGTCTTCTGTGGATGTTGCCATCCTCCCAGTTTAGACCCCTTTTACCTGTTTTTTGACTCTCAAATTGTGTACGCCTTTGCTACTCCTGACTGCCTGCACCGTGACCTCTGCTCAGCCTTGTGATTATGATTTTTGGATAAGCCTTAATAAACCAACTCTGCACCCTGCCCCAAAGTTTTACTCAATACAGTACCGAAGTTCAAGAACAGCTTCTAGACTAAAGAAAATACTCTGGGCTGCTCCAACTTTTTTCATGGTGCACACAATGGTGACCCTGAGGCACCTTGAAGTTTCTGGGGTCAGTCGTAGGTGTGGACTCCACCTTGAACTACCTAATATGCTCTTTCCCTGTATCTTTATCCCCTCATTTTGGGCTACCATGGCTAAGAATAGATAGAGCTATTATTATCACTGCAGCATAGAGTTTTGATGATAAAATCCAACACCACTATATTTGTATCAGATGATGTTTAATATATTTATTATAAAGTTAATGAACTCATGCTTACTGGGGGCTGCAACTACAAGAATGTCTTATAAACCTGATGGAGCTTGCTTTGACTGGATCGTTTCATTCTGTTCTGTTTATCTTACAATGACACCAAAGCGAAACTTACACAAATATTGTCTAGAGTCTAGAACACCATGGTTCTGGGCCCAGTGTCAAAAACATCTGAGCGTTTGTTAGAGACTTTGGAAAAGCTCAAGAATCAAGAGCCGTCCCAGAAGCCGTGGTGAGAAAAGCGCAGTACATACGGTAACTTCCTGTGACTGCGATGAACTGGCAAACATGTATTAAGAAAATTTATAATAAATAAATACATTAAGATATAGGCTGCTGATCTTTGTCCAGCCCAGTGATGAAGCTGATCGTCTGATTGGACACACATCACTTAAGGCTGGATGGGTAAACAGGAAATTCTGTTGACTAGATTCATAGGAAGAACAAAGCAGTTATCTCATCAAGGGAGGATAATAACCCCACATATCTGACATATTTGCTCTACCCAGCAATCAAAATTCCATTTGTGGTTTTTAAAAAAGTGTTGATCAAACAGATTAAAAAATGTTTTTGCTTAAGTACTTTCAGCTAAGGTTTCTAAAACCACGATATGAAGAAAGAAATCAAACAGAAATATTTAAAGCAAAAAGGCCAGAGCAGGCAAACTAGTTAGTGGCTTCTGCTTGGCTTCATGTGGAAGTAGTCTGTTAACGTCCAATCTAGGACCAGTTTCCCTTGAAATCCAATCTACAGCCATTACAAAACAACACAAACGAAAACACAGATTACATTAACAGTACACTCTGCAAAAACAAGGTTCCTCAATGGTTCTTCTGTCAAAAACCCTTTGCATGATTAAAGGCTTCTTTTCATCATGAAGTGGTTCTTCACATTGATGAAGAATGGACTGTATATGGTTCTAAATAGGACCTTTTTAGAAAAGGGTTCTACATAGCACCCAAAAGGGTTCTACTATAGTAACAATGTCAAGCTTATAACCATAGAAGAACTATTTTGGGTGCTATAATAGCTCTACATAGAACCATGTGCAATACATTTTCCATCAATCTGAAGGACGATTTCACCATGCAAAGAACCCTTTAATCATAGAACCATCTTCTTTACTAAAGAACCCTTGAAGAACCATCTTTTTTAAATGTGTACAAAACCTACCCCATTCACATCTGCACAGTCACCTGGTAGTGAACTACATCATTTAAGGTGTTTAGCATTGAGCAACATTTATCTAAAGGT